TTACTTGATTTTATAGCTCCATGCAATGACATTGGTATCACATGGCATTATATTTAAGTTAGAAACTGCCTAAACCAAATGATGCGTGCCATTTAAATAAACAAGCTCTTGAAAATAAATTTCAGTGCCATCAAAAATGCTGTTTTTTTTGTTGGTCACACATTGTTGGCTTTTCTTTTCTTTTTCTTTCTTTCCTTCCTTTCTTCCTTCCTTTCTTTCTTTTTTTCTTTCTTTCTTTCTTTTTCTTTCTTTTCTTTCTTTCTCTTTATCTCTCTCTTCCTCTCTTTCTCTTTCTTTCTTTCTTTTTAGAAATAGGCCTCAAGAGGAAATAGCAAATATCTTTAGTATTTCTTTAAGAAAACACACCCAGAAAAGAAAAATTTCCGCGTTTCACTAAACTAGCCGGCTCCTGATGCTTTCCACTGGCCTCCTCTGCCTTCCTCCCGCAGCTGACGGTCTCTGTGTGAACACGGAGCCCAGAGCTGCCTCTCGGCCGTGGGTGCCCGGTGCAGATGGGGACCCGAGACCCCAACCGGGCGGAGGGGAGCGTGGCGGTCGGCGATCACGCGCCGAGCCGAACGTCCCAGAACGTCGACGCGGCGTCTGCACGGCACACTGAGCGGAAGGGGCGGCACCCACACACGTTGCTGGCTCCGCTCTCTCTGAGCCCGAGGCCCAGGGGTCACACGAGGAAGAGGGCACAGGGTCGCCACCGACTCTTCAGAGCATCGCGTCTCGATCCCGGGTACTTCAGAGAGCGAACAGGAAGGCCCTTCCTGGCATTTGAATGTCGCCGCGCTTTGCGACGGCACCTCGAAAACGTCGGCACCCTCTGCTCCGTGCACGGTCCTTGCCGTGCTCCTGGATGCCCCGAGTCTGGCCCGCACCCCAACCTCGGGGTGAGTCAGTCAGCCTCTGGGGGCCTCAGTTCATAGAGAAGGATGACCTGGAAGGGCTGCCATGACAGCTTGCTGAGGTGAGGGACTCAGCACCCGCTGGTCTGGGCCTGCAGGAGCTGGGCAGTGAGTGCCAAGAGACAGGCGCTTCGCGGCCACTTGCTCCTAGGTGTAGCCTCAGGCCCTCCTACCACGCACACCTTTGCGTCTCTTAGGCACAGTTCAGGTCTAAAGGTTTCGCCCTCAAACCACCGGGCCTTCACCTGGCTGGAGGATGTTCCAGGAGGGTCGTATCTCGTTAACTGTCCCCCGTACGCCCACAGCCCCGTCAATAAGTCCTGTTTCCTAAGACTTTCCCCGACAATGGCCGTCCAGCTCCCAGCTCTTCCCAGGGTTCAGCTCGACGGCTGAATTTCGGGGCTAACCCGCATCGCCTTTCCCTTCTCTTGGACGAAACGGTGCACAATGGCGTCTGCGGAAAGTGCCCCCCACGTTATCTGGGCTCCCTCACGGGAACCGCAGCCGGCTGACGTGTACCCACCTCTTTCAAATTGCAGCTTTTTATATCTTTGCATCATTTCTGCCGCGACCATACACTCGATCTACGGGGAAAAATACAAACAAGGAGCGTAAGCAGCCGAGGGCTAGAATGTCAAGGAGGTCAGCGTAAACAGGACTCGCGACACCCCGATAAGCAAGCAGGCAGGCTGTGCACGTCACCGAACCCCGTCCGTCCACCGCACGTGCCTCGCTCTCCTGCAGCTGGCCCTGTTTGGGGCAGGCAGCATCCGGACAGCTGATCGCAGTTTCTAATCCTTCTTTGATCAAGAGCTCGACGTACTGTTTCAGGCACTGAAAAAAAACAGAGAAGTGTCTGTAAACATCTCCACTTCCTTAAGGCTGAAGGAGCAGCACGCATAAAATGCGCACGGTCAAGACCCTGTTCCATTCTCACCGTGTGGCCCGTAGCGGCCACCAAGTCTGAGGTTGTATCACTCAGCGAATGTTTACGGAGTCCCCCCCACCCCGTTCCAGGGACGGCGTGCTGGTTCTCAGGACCGTCTGCGGGTCGGGTCTCTGCACACAGCCCCAGCAAGGACAAGGCCAGTGCACCTCACAGCAAGGGGACAGGCGGCGAGGGTCCTGGGCACCACACCGAGCAGGTGCACGGTGGACGCCAGGCCCGGTCCACTGCTCCATGTCCTCCTTAGAACATTCTTACAGGAACCGCACAGCCCCTCCACCTGTCAGACGTGAACACGGAGTCGCCCAAGAAGGGGCGTGCGGCTTACCCAGACCCCACAGCCGAGCCGGCCTCAGACCCTCAGCGCCCTGCTCTCCCCGCTGGGGACTGGGCAGCGGTCTGCACCGACGCCCCGCTTGCCAGCGGCTGCTCACTACAGCCTCACCCACGGGGCGCCCGGCCGAGCATCCGAAGCCAGTCAGAGGCACAAAGCAGATTTCACATCAGAGGTGACGCGGCCGTCACAGAGCCGATCCCTCTTGCTCCGCAGCCTCCTGGCCTGAGAAAGCCAGGGCTTCCCCGACAAGCGCATTGAAAACAGCGGCTGGAAGGAAAGATGGAGCTTCGCCAGGCGAGCTCACGGCTGAGAGAGACGGAGACAGACTCTCCGGCTTCTGGAGGAACTCAGGGAGCACAGGACACTGGCCGCGACAGGACGGACGACAGTGTGAAACACAGCAGCACCCCGAAATCGACCTTCGATCACGGCCCAGCCCACCGCGTGGGTCCACGACACCAGCACTGTGAGGGGCTGTAATAGCGAGTCCCCGAAAGCCCGCGGCTGTTCCCTAAGCCTGCTCCAAAGATGCATGACCCCCTCCCCCGAGAACGCGTGGCCAGCTGTGGTTCCTGCTGGCTCTGCGTCTGTCACTCTCTCCCGGCCTCGCTCTTCTGACCTGCAAATTGGGTGGTTTCACCCCGGAAGAGTTATAAAAAGTCTGTGCGGGAGGGAGCATCTAGGTTACCTGGAAAGCAGCATGCGTTCAATATGTAAACAACAGTTTGATCTCGATGGGTCCGCCTCACATTTCACCCAACCAGAATGCGTCACTCATTAAAGACGCTAGATGGCCAATTTCTTTAAAAAGTAGAAATCAAGGAACTCCTCAAAATGAGCCATTTCCTACGGCTTCTCTCGAGAGCGCTAAAGCAGAAGGCTGTGACTAGCTGTCCACCGCGATGCTGGCGCCCGTGAGCCGAAGTCCCCCCAGGATGGCAGTGGCCCTGAGCTCAGACCAGGCTGGAACCGTCCGCATGTCGCCAACCCCCAGCCTTGAAGCCCCACCTGAGGCACAGGCGGCAGAGGCTTCGGTGGCAAACTCATCCACACCATCACCCCGGCCGAGGGCGGGCAGCAGGGGACGGGCGGCAGCCACACGTGGCCTCCATCAGGCCTGTGCCCACGCTGGTGGCAGCAGCTGGCCTGTGTGGGGAGACAGCGAGGTGGCTGAGAGGCATGCTGAGCCCCTGCCGCCGCGGCCTGCAGTTGGGAGGACCGTCCCGTTTATGGCCGGTACAGCATGAGGAGAGACAGACCCCAGTCCTGTTAGGCAGAGCCACAGCGGCTCGTCTGGGCCACAGCTGCCTCGACAGTGGAACAGGGATGCCCGCCCCGCTGGACCTCCGCGACAGGAAGCAAGACGGGATACAGAAGCATCTAGCACAAGGCAGGAGCGGGGCGCCAGCTAAGCACAGAGCGACTCTGCCGTCTGCCTATCTGTACGCGCTGTTTCTTACAGTCATAGGTTAGAAATCAAAACCTGAGCAACGAGATCATTATTTCACTTTCTATAATTAAGTTCGTCTAAACTGGGTCTCTGGAGGACACCGGAATGCCATCAACCAGTAAAACGCTGACATCTCTTACGATACTGCGCAGAGCAGACATAATGAGAGCGGGTTTATGCTCCCTGAGAAGCAGAGCGCGCAAAGCCTGCGTGGGCGATGCACGCCGGGCAGGGCTGCGGCCTCGGGCGCCAGCGTTCAGACCGTGCACGCGGCAGCTGCGTCACGACTGGCTGCGGCTCCCCCAGAGTGAGCGTCCCACGCCATGGACGGCCCCGGCACAATCCGCACGGTGACTGTTCCGGGAGACTCCAAGCGTCTACTACAGACACACGAGGACACGTGCATCGGCCACGGAAAACAAGCCCAGGCCGCTTGCAGACAGGAAGTGGACTGTGCCTCACAGGCTATGTCGTCCGATCTAGTAGCACAGAGGTGTCTTGAAATGAGCACGAGGAGAAATGGGGTACGAGAGAGACTTCTGTAAAGACGAATGTTCAGGACGAGAGCAGGTCCTGATGTGCGTCCCTACTGCCCCGGGAACCGCAGCTACCGGCCACCAAGGGCCGTGGGAGGACCAGCTCCGCGTTCCCCACTCCACCTGCTTGGTCCACCAAACAAAACAGGGGAGTCCGGCAAGGTGCCTTCGCTCCCTCAAATGGAGGAACCAAGAGTTTTGTTTGTCTCAGGAACCAGAAGGGGCTGGGGTGACGGATAAGAGCACCCGCTTGGGCACCTGGCCGAGAATGGGGCAGGGCTCCCGGGCGGAAGGAAGAGAGCAGGTCGGCCTCGGGATGGAGAGTCAAGTGCACAAAACAGGAAGAGAGAAAGCGGGTCCCACATGTCCTTCCTGGGCAGGAAGGCATCGGGACCCGGGGGCGGGGGGCGACGAAAGCCCAGCGCCCTTGACCTCCAGAGCCGACCTCCAGAGCCCGCCTCCGGAGCCGCCCTCTGCCCCCGCGACGCCTGCCCGAGCCCGCAGCCCCGCCGAACGCACGGCTCCTCCTCGCCCCTTCCGCGGTCTCCGATCGATTTGAGCGTGTGATCTGCACTGGAGTTGCTTTTTTATTTCTCCGGTAATTCTCAAGTCACAGAAAACCGAAACAACAACAACGAGAAAAGTGAATGAATGCATCCCCTGGCGCCAAGCGATCCTCCCTGAGGGGCGACTCAACCTGGGCAAGCTGGATGGGCCACTTCGAGCAAAGACACGCCTTGGTGGTGAGAGGCGGCCCCCAGGGCGAGAGGCGAGCAAACGCGCCCGAGGGCACCAGGGCAGAGGGGACTGGATTCCACCTGTGGACGCCTGAAAGTCCCTCCAGGCAGGAGGGGGCAACTGCCCCAGAGCCAGCGACTGGACGCTCCCTGACCAGCTGCACCACCCTCCCACAGCGTCTAGAGATGACAGTGAACCATTCCTGTGTCTACGGGGGGAGGTCGGTCTCTCCGCCTCGCCCTCCCATCCTCCCCGGCTCAGAAAAAGGCCAAAGCGATTTCCTGTCCTCCAGGCTAAGGTAACTCTCCTGGGGCCCAGGTCTCGGCCGCCGCACGGAGAGAGGCCCCCTGCGTGCAGTGCACGGAGCCTTCGTTGATCAGCCATCAGGAGCCCTGCAGTAAACCCAGCGTTCGGAGCGTCCAGAATTCTGCCCCCTGGAACGCCAGAGTCCGGCACAGCAGACTCAGTCAGAGGTGGGGACTGCAATGTGAGAAATAAGGTCTGTGACATGTGAGCGAGAATAAAGAACACGTCTCCTACAAAACAGCGGGAAAGTCTGTCTCGTGACAGATTTTAATCCAGACATGTAAATACTAGGCAGGCCACACACGTGGTCCACTTATAACTCAGCTAAAATGTAGAAGCGATTCTGGCTTTTTATAATTTGAAGAAAATGGTCTTTTTGTTTTTTCTTTTCTGGACCTTTATTTGTTTTTTTGTTTGTCTGTTTGTTTCTATTCCTTGAACGGGAAGGAAAAAGCACGTGAAATTAAATGAGGTGACCGGAAAACAGACCTATGGTGTCGCTTCCCTTTCCTGTGTGTAAGACGTCGGTCTGAGGGAGGGATGCTGGGAACAGAGGTCCCTGTCACCAGATGAGGCTGGCTCCGCCTGGGAGAATCTAAATGTGACCTCGGGGTGCGCGCGTACCTTCCCGCCCGGCGCCCCGCCAGGGGCAGCCAGCATGACAGCCGGGCACGCTCGGGGGTCGGCACCGGCACAGCCGGGCACGCGACCGTCTGGTCCAAAGTGAGGTGCGAAGCTTTTCTTTCCAGAAAGGCGAGCGCACGCACGGCCAGACCCCCTCCCCGCTTCCAGAACTCCGTTTAGCTGACGGCCTGTGCCCCCGGAGCACCTGGGGTGGAAGCCCACGCGGGTGGCCTGGCTGACTTAGGGAACCAACGGGGAAGCCTCGGAGGGAGGCGCGTCGCCGGCAGAGGTGAGACAGAGCTCGGCTTGCTGTCTGGAACACGGAGCGAAGGCGCGCGCGGACACCCTTTCCCACGGCTGTTTGCTCCCACACGGACCCACCAGGGTACAGAAGACACACTGGCACTGGGCCACGGTGGTCATCTGCTCCAGCGGGTACTCCCCGAGGCACAGCTTGCAGGACACCAGCGGGTCGAGGGCCAGGTCCCACGTGGGCCGGTACCGCGTCGTGGTCATGGCCGAGCAATCTGAAACGAGAGGAAACGGACGGCCGTCAGCCCCCTCGCGGTCGCCCCCGGGGCGCGGTGGAAATCATGTCCCTGGGCTGCAGCCGGGGAGCCGGGAGGGGCCCAAGTGGCTGGTGATGGGCCCGGCCCCGTCCTCCCCCCGTCCCTCCAAAGGGCACTGAGCAAGACACCCCCCGGAGCCCGGCAGCCAGCCCAGGACCCCCCACCCCACACTGCCGAAGAGAAGCTTTTGTTAAAACAGTTACGGACCGGATGGGGCTGGTGTCCAGTTTCTGCTGGAGAAACACCCCAGGGAGCCCGGTCAGTGACGCTCTCCCCTTTCAGGCCCCGGCGCCCCCCGAATGACCCCACCTTTCCACACCGGCCTCCACCCACACCGGCCGGGTGTCACCCGACCCTCCAGACACTGCCGAGCACCACGGCCTCCCGACGCCCCGGCAGATGCTCTAAAGCGTTAGCTTCACAGGGCAAGGGCCTTGGGCAGATCTGTTCGCTGTGTGGCTGGTGCACCCAGCAGTGCCCAGTGTGTCATGGATACACATTAGTGGACGTCACTGTCACTTCTCCATCCTCATGAGACGACCTCTGCCCTCGTCCCTTCACAGGGCAAGGGCCTTGGGCAGATCTGTTCGCGGTGTGGCCGGTGCACCCAGCAGTGCCCAGCACGTCACGGACGCTCGATACACATTAGTGGACATCATCGTCACTTCTCCATCCTCATGAGACGACCTCTGGCCTCGTCTTCATCCACCCCCAGCCTGCGTCCCCCAGCAGGACCAGTAAGCTCCTGCTGCTGCTCAGGGGACACGGGAGGGCGTGGGGCTCCAGCTCCCAGCCCGGCTCCCGAGCCAGTAACTGCCTGTCGGTTGCATCTAGAGATCCGAATTTTACTCCAGACCCTCTGGCACTTGGTTTAAGCCTATGACACTTAAGGGTACTGCGACAGGTGAGTATGTGCTGTATCATGCCAGCACCCCATGCTCCCCAAACTCAGAACCGGGTAGGGTCAGTTAAAATCTCAGAATAAAGCCCCTGGCCCGCTGGACTCTCCCTGATTGCTACTGAGAGATTAGGTCGAAACTGACTCAAATGACATGATTTCTTTCCTGCCCCGCCTTGCCGTCGGGCCTGAGGAAGGGAACGACGTGGGTACAGGACAGTCCCACGTCCCCTGCTGGTTCGTCTAGTCCCGACTTCACGCTGACGGCAGAGAGTTGCATGTACGAGGAAGATCTGACACACCCGCGGAAAAGGGAACACAAAACGAAACGCCAGCAGAGGACCAGCGTGCACGCGGAACGGCTGCGGGATCACAGCAACGGCGGAAACGGATCGGACACGGCCCCCGGCCCGGGGGTCTGCAGACTCAAATCACGAACAGCCCCTGCCAGACCTAACGCTAATGACACAGGGCGGCCCGGGACCCGTGGGAAACTGGGGCTCCAGGCTTCGGTGAAGACGCCGGCAGCCTGGGCAGAACCGCAGCACAGGAGGGCTCTGCGGGGGCGGAGCTTGCGTTTGGAAGGGAGGGGTCCCGATCCACGCAGGAGCAGGTATCAGAACAGGAGAGAGGGGCACCCTAACACGCTCGCCAGCCCAGAGGGACACCCTAACACTCTCGCCAGACCAGAGGGACACCCTAACACCCTCGCCAGCCCAGAGGGGCACCCTAACACCCTTGCCAGCCCAGAGACACCCTAACACCCTCGCCAGCCCAGAGGGACACCCTAACACCCTCGCCAGCCCAGAGGGACACCCTAACACCCTCGCCAGCCCAGAGGGACACCCTAACACCCTCGCCAGCCCAGAGGGACAGCCTAACACCCTCGCCAGCCCAGAGCGACAGCCTAACACCCTCGCCGGCCCAGAGCGACAGCCTAACACCCTCGCCGGCCCAGAGGGACACCCTAACACCCTCGCCGGCCCAGAGGGACAGCCTAACACCCTCACCAGCCCAGAGGACACCCTAACACCCTCGCCAGCCCAGAGCGACAGCCTAACACCCTCGCCAGCCCAGAGGGACACCCTAACACCCTCGCCAGCCCAGAGGGACAGCCTAACACCCTCGCCAGCCCAGAGGGACACCCTAACACCCTCGCCAGCCCAGAGGGACACCCTAACACCTTCGCCGGCCCAGAGAGTGTGGGCAGTAGGCGGGGTGAAGGCAGTCGGCGCCGTGACAGCCAACGGACGCCTGTGCTCGACGGCCCACGGCGGCTTCACGTCCGGCCTCGGTGCGCTCGTCGGCGTGACGGGCGGGTGGCCCCACATCACAGCGTCGTCATGACAGCTAGGAGGTCGGATGAGGGGCTGCCAGACGGGAAATGCTCAGCCAGAAGCCCGTGGCCTCTTCCCGCGGGCCTCATTTAGCCACAGCCTCATCCTGCGCGGGAGACCACGGGGCCGCCACGCCCTGCGATTCGGGACTGGGTTAGTCCCGGAGCCGTCAGGATGGATTTTTAAACCCTTACAATCTCTCAAGCTCTGTCAGTCACGGCTCCCTGGGTCTCGCAGGCACACATCTAGCTGTGTCTTAGGTCGACCCCGAGACAAACCGCCGTGGACCTTACTTACGCGGGGCACCGGGGTGCGGGGAGGACGCGGTCTCTCGGGGGGCCCGTGACAGCACGCTCGGAGGCGCTCAGGCGTCAGGGCACAGGCGTGGGAACACGAGGATGTGAATGTACTAGGTAAGCAGAGGCCCTGACCTACAAGTACTCGAGCGAGGGGCGGCGGGGGGGCGGTCAGCGTCCAGGGCAGGGGCTGGACAGTGGCAGGGATGGACCCGGCCTCCTCCTGGGACAGCCAGTCACAGAGCAACTACAAAGTAGGTGGGCTTTCTGTTGTCAGAAAACAACTCACACACAATCCCAAGTCGCGTCCGAACTGGTCTGAGCCTCCCAGGTCATTTACACGAGCCTCGTCACCAGAACACTCGTGATCCGGGGGTCAGCCCGCTATCTGGGGGTGCAGGAAGTACCAGGATCCAGCCTCATCGCCCTGAATTTATTTGGAGCACTTCTCTACACCCCGAATCCATGCTCATGCCTGTTATGATTTTAAATGCCCGCAAGATCTTTCTGGATCTCGGGCTCACAGGCCAAGGATTTTTTCCTTTATATTTGTCAGCATCCTTTTCTGTTTTAATCTTTAATAATATGTTTTAAGTAACATCCCTTAAGGCTCACTGTACAAGAAAGCAATTATGTTCTGATTGGGAATGTCGGCTAGCCCGAAGGGAGGCCACAAACCTCGAGCAGAAGCAACACAGGCCCAGGGCTGGCTTGAGAAGTCACTCAGGCCCAGAAATGCCCCCTGGGGGCAGAGGCTGCTAAGGGCCTTCTCTGTGCTGGAGAGCGGGAAGTGGCTGTCAGCAGTGTGAGGGGGCCTGGGCTCGGATTCTGCAGGGCGTGGGGGCAGCAGCTTCAGGGCGAGGAGACCTCATTCTGCAATCCGGCAGACCTGGGTTCAAACTCTCCTTCAGCCACTCGGTCATGTGATTTGGGAGACACAATGTAACCTCAGATTTTTCCCGTCTGTAAAATCTTACACCATCACCTGCCATGTACGCTTGCTGTGACGAGTGAGTGAGAAGTGATATACTTTAAATTCCTGGGACATACTGCCTGCTTGGAAAGTGGATGTCGTTAGCCCGTGTCGGGTTTAGGAACCTGGACACTAAGTGACATGCTCTAAAGGGAGGAGACGGAGCAGAGCAAAGCCACGATAAACCTAGTCTTCGAGGAAGTTCAAGGTGACGGCCACACTCTGTGGAAGAAGAAAACCTAAAACCTCTGAAGCCTCTTGCTTCACCATCCGCTGTGCGGTCTGGTCGAGGACTGGACGTCACCCCCAAATGCATCCAGCAGGGCAGAAACCCAGCTGCGCCCTTCGACATGGAGCCCTTAAAGCCCATGGGTTTAGGAACCTGGACACTAAGTGACCCACGGTCAGTTCCAGGCGGCGACACCTCGTGAGCAGCCTCCCGCCCCACGCACCAGGCCTTGTCCCCCCGACCGCCCCTGCTGGGGCTTCCTGCTCGTCCCAGCTCCGAGCTGGCCTCCTCTTCCTGTTTACAGCCTCTCTGAAGACGTGACCCTGAGCACAAATTACAGGCCTGACCTCTCACTTCCTTTCTTCCTGGACCACGACTTCCACTTGACCTTGCGAGACCGTGGCTTCCCACTGCGCTGGGCCCACGTCGGCAGGGCCCTCACCTCCCGGCCTAGGAGCCGCTCTTGAAGGCCAGTTCCCAGTTTCCTGGCACCAGGTCCATATTCTTTTCCCTCCAGAGTCGATGTTCTGAGCTGCATTCAAAATCCTGATTCAAACGGTGACAACAATAAGACACAGTTTACAACAACAACAACAACAGAAGTGCATATTGTCTAAGCCCATCCTGAACCTCCCTGCACACAGGACGGGCTGAATGGGACCCAAACCTGGAACAGCTGCAGAGTCGAAGCAGGAATTTGCTAAGAGAATCACAATGCGCAATAAAAGAAAAAAAAACAGCCTTTGTTTTCCTAATGTGAATGTCGAGTCACACGGAACAACAAAACTATTTTAAGAACATCTGGTCGATTATAAGTATTATTCAATCTAAGCAATTCCCAGTGTTTATAAGATGCGTCACTTGCTGAGCCACCGCTGGGCTCTGGGTCCTGCGCTGGGGCGGGAGAGGTGGCCGGGGGGACGGGCAGCCAGACGGACGGCAGTCCCTGAGTCCACGTGACGAGGCGCAGCAAAGTGCGCGACCCGGCCAGGACCGTCACGGCCCCAGGCTCCGGGGCCGCGACTTCCGTGGGTTCCCGTCCCCCACCTTTGCAGTTGTCGGTCACCCAGTCACTGTCCCCCTTGTACCCTGACGACCTCCGCAGACAAAGCCCTGGTCTCCTAGAGCTGGGGGCGTCTCCCCCAGCCGAATCCCTCCCCCTCCTCGCCACTCCTCCCCTCCACCCCGGTCCCCGGTGCCCTGAGACGTCCCCCCGACTGCTCGG